GCAGAATCTTCTAATAAGATTCTAAAAAATATCATAAGAAAAATGATAGATGAAAATGCCAGGAATTGGCACGAATGTCTAAACAAGGTCTTATGGGCTTATAGGACGTCGCTTCGGTCAAGTACAAAAATTACTCATTTCCAACTTACTTATGGACAAGAGGCCGTTTTGCCTATGAAAATCAACGTGCAATCAATTAGAGTGTGTTTGCAACATAAGTTAAGTGGTGATGAGTATACCGAATCACTGGTTCAAAATTTATTAGAGTTGGACGAATTAAAGTTGGACGTCCTAAATAGATTGCAAGTTCAAAAACCAAGAATGGCTAAATTTTATAATAAAAAGGTTAAAACCAAGTCGGTCAGCCTGGGCGAATTGGTTTGGAAGCCTTCCTAAATGCATCGCTGCAATGAGGGACAAGGAGGCTGAGAAGCACTCTCAACAAGCAAGGTGGCTTGCACGCGTTCTAAAAAATTGTCTTCTATCATCGAACTCCTTGTAAGGAATATGGAGACGATGGGAAGAACTTTGCTGGCCAAAGAATACTTCCTATATCTCCCATACCAAAGGTGACATCAAGAAAGATGGCAAAATGGGCGGATCAAATGATCCATTTTCATGGAAGATGAAGGTTTTGGATCGATTGTCAAAATGCCAAATAATGACAGCAGATTGGTTTTGAATAAGAAAATGGAAGCGAAAATGACAAGTGTGGAATATAAGTGCATTTATAGAGGCGTGAAGGTGAAGAGACAGAATATGAACAGCCACATTCGTGCCTAGTAACTAGAATCAAATGGCCCGAAATCTTGGGGAAAGAGACAAATATCAAGAGAAAATGTGCGTGAATCTTAGCATAAAACAGTTAAATGTTTGAGGGGTTGACGATTAAAGGCAACGTCAATAAATACACAAGAAGACAAGTTAATCGTTCATTAATGATAATGGTTGTTGGTATGTTCAGAATTCAGTGCGAGGTTACAAAGGAAAAATTAATATGAAATTACAAAAAGAAAAGTTAAGGCATTAGATGTCTTAATTACAAATCACCCCAGACTGAACGAATCCTTTCCCTAAGTCTCCTCCAATTCTCGCTCTGCTGAGAAGAAGTGACATTCAACTCAGCCACAAAATCATCATCAACCTCCAGCTTCTTGTACTGCTCGACCAAAGACTTGGTTCGTTCAATTCCTTGGGAGGCATTGCATTTTTTGGCAGCCATTCTCGTATTGTAGTCGTCCATCTTTGCTTGAAACTCCTCCATCTGTGCAGCCAAACTGGTCATCAAAGAGTCTTCAATTATGACTTCAGAAGAGATTTCTTTCAATTCGTCCTCAACTTTGTTGATCTCCAGAAGCAAAGATTCTCTTTCAAATACAGCGCGAAGATATTGAGTACTTTTGGCCTTCAGTTCAACATTTTTGGTCAACAAGGAGAGAACTTCGGAATGGACAACTTTCAACGTCGCTTTAAAATCAGCAGAAAGATTGAGCGACGGAAGTGTTAGTGCTTGCTCCAACTTCGCACTCAAATGCTCAAGCTTATCCTTATGTTTGGTAGCACTAGCCTGACCGATGTTCATATCCATGAAGAACACATACTTAAATATCGACTGCTTGAGGAACTTAATATCTTCCTTTGAAGAAGCAGAAGGACGACTGGTTGAAGCAGGGCGAGACGTCTTGACTTGTCCCCAGGAAGTGAACAAGTCCTGGATGGAACGCACAATCTTATCAGCATCCTGCAAAGAAAGTTGCCAACATTGAAGGTTTTCACTACAATGAACAAAGTGGACATAAAAGTGAAGCAGAGATTACCTCATCAGCAATCTTGAGAGGTGGCATATCCCCAGCCAAATCTACCACCTGTGGCTCCACCACTTGTGAAGACTTCCCCTTGTCTGAGCGAGAAGACTTTGCCACAATGGGCAAACCCATGGGAGCATCTACAAAACTTAGAAAGTAACAAATCAAAAACCAATAGCTCAAGTAAAGGTAAAATATCAAAAAATGTATTACCTTCTGGTTCAACGTTTGGGGGGCTGACGCCCTGGAAAGAAGGTGGCTCATCCATTGGTTGTGATGAAGATTTCGGGACTGAAGGTTTCTCTTTATGCGTAGTCTCTTCATCAGTTGGTTTGGATGAAGCAGCCTCAGCAGAAGGTGATGGAGCAGGAGCTGCCAACACCAAAGCCTTCGAAGGAGAGGCTGAGCTTTTCTGAGAAATCCGAATAAACCATCAGCACATAGAAAAGTTTCAAGTATAGAAAGGTATGCTTGTGAGTAAACTAATTTAATTACCTTTCTCCTGACAATGAGAGGAGTGTCGTCATCATCATCATCATCCAAAATGGGAGATGCTGAGGCTGGCCGTTTGCGGCTTGGGATAATTTTAGATGCAGTAGGCTAGGCAGGAAGGGAAGTAGATGGACGAACAGATGTTTAGCACGAGCAGAAGAGGAATGACTCATAATGGACACAGGGGTGACCAAAACAGGGGAAGTGGAAGAAATGTCCGGCTGATCCAGTGAATGGAAGGCGCGATTGGCATCAATTGCAAACAATCTGCACTGCACTGATGGCCAGAGTTGTTCAAAAAGGGGATGCGTAGCATAACTAGGATTGAAAGAAGCTAATGAAAAGTTACTCGTCAAAAGAATATTGAGAGCATTTATAGCTTCTGCCTCTGCCTTATTTATGGTGTAAAAGCGATCTATCAAATTTCTTGAATAATAAGGGGGAACAGGCCAAGTTTGGCCGAAACCAAGTTGACGAGCAAAAAATTGGGGAGCATATATTTCAACCCCAACTTTGGCATTAGTTCCAGTCAAAATATCATGGAACAACTCCCTTCCGGTCAAAAACTAAACCCAAACGAGCATAGAGGTGCTCGCATTGTCCAGGGTAGATGGGGATGCACATAATCAGGAGTTAAAAAGGGAGGAAAAGGAACGAAAGAAGGAATTGAATTCAAAGTATAAAAGAATGAAAAATATCCCTTTTGGACATATGTACAGGGCTCAGTGGGTCAATAGCTAGCCCATAGCAACTAGCAGAATGAAGGGAAAGGGNATCGCCCAAAGGTGGCAAATTTACTAAGGCCCCAACATCCCTTAAAGTAATGGACATGGGACCAAGAGGGAAAACAAAAGTATCATACTCAGAGGACCAAAAACTTAATGCAATAGGGAAAAGTGCTGAATCAAAAATAGGGGTCGCAGAGAGATTTCTAGCAAATCAGAAATCCTAGCATTATCAAAAATTGCCTTGGTAGGACCATGGTTCACAAGGCGAGCATGCCATCTACGGAAAACAATATCTGATTTAGGCCAAGTGCGAATACCTCTTTCGCGAAGCGGCTTTAGCGGCAAAGAGTTTAGAAACGGAGGGCCTTGAGTACAAGGGAACAGCTATCCCACCACCACTTGTTCGACGGCCTCGGCGTTATTGAATGAGGGACCTAGATAGAACTCGTTGAGTTCGGCATTGGCTCGTGTAAGGAAGTTAGGAGTTATATATGGCCGAGTGAGAAGTTTCTGGAAGTCTTCGAAACTGAAAGAGTCACTAGATTGGGATTGTGAAGCAGCCATTAGGAACGAAATAAAAGCTTTGTTGAAGTTTGCTCGAGAAACGTAGAAAAGAAGCAAGAAGATGAACAGTAATATTGTGAGAGAGAAGCGCAAAGCAATGAGGCGTGATTTAGTCGTGCGATGAAATGGCGTGTATTTGGGGGTTATAAGGGTTTGTAACGTCGCACCTTTTCAGGCTATGGAAGAAAATAATGATTAAAATTCTTGAAAATTTCAAATGTTGTTGGGAAACAAAAAGTGAATATGGTAAAAATTAATAACTGGTATTAATTCTGCCATATTGAGGGGTAATTGTTGACATGCTAAAAGTGCAACCCGATTCAAATAGCCCAAAGAATGAAGGTCAACTGGGCAATTCAGGATAAATGCCCAAACATGATTATTAAGGAATGTAGTGGAAGTCCACGAACGCGGTAACAACATCGCCCAAACTTACAAGACGCCCAGGATCTGAGCGAATGAAATGCCTTGCAGTCGTCCAGAGTTATGACCCTGTTCTCGCCCAAACTTTCGAATCGTCCAAGATCTTAGCAAACATGAGATGTTATGGTTATCCAAAAGTACAATTATCGAAGCAGTTATTGGGTAATCTTATCACGTTCCACGATTCAAGGATGTTCAGTTGAGGACGGTTGAACGACAAAGAGTAATGGCAGCAGTTAGAAACGACAGTTCCACAATAAGTTGGCCACCATGAAGAAAGTGGGCAGTTATAAAACAATTAAACGGTTTCTAAGCGGTTGGATCACAAAGAAAGTATCAAATGAATATAAAAGGAAGAAAAGACATAGAGCAAATGACCGAATCAAACACTCTCAAACAGAAATATGTAATTTCAATTTTTTAATTTAGACTTAAAATATTTCTTTTCAGTATTCGTGTGCTTGCGCCCTTTGGAGGTATTTCTGTTTAAGTTTCAATCGTAAAGTCATTGCCAATAAAACACCCATTTTTGGGACTTTGTCTCAAGAGGTTTGTTCCTTACACAATCGTCTGATCCCTTTTTAATTGTTAGCGACTACTCGCGCGAAACACAATTAATACCAAGAAAATTCGAAATCAAAATCCAACTTCACATACAAATCAGTATCATATCATATCATACAAAAATAATTAGTAAAATTGTAGGTGTGCATGTCTCTAACTGTAAAAGTATTAGTTAATCATTACAGACTGAATCCGAATCTTCAAATGTTCACGTCAATTGTTTGTGACTGGAAGTGTAGTTGGAATATCAAATCAATATATGATAATTGACCAGGTAGAGATTAAATAAATATTATATAGTTTATTTATGAGTATATAATCAAATTTTAAATGAATATTTCTATTGATGAAAGTTTAAAATAAAATAAATTATTCATTTTACAATAAGTTAAGAGTATGTAAAAACGATTTTTGTCCCGGTAAAGTGAAATTTCTATTATAACACACCGTAATATTAATAAAATTATATATCTATTCTTATTTTATACTTATTTCCATCTACAAAGTTCAAATACAACCCAACAAATATGTCTAAAGATATGAGTGGATTCGATGTGTCGATTTGTACTACGAAGTGTAAGGTATTGATTTTTCCTAAATTTTGTAAATCTTTTTGTTCACATATATTAACTATAAATTGTTTCTATTTACCATTGTTTAGAGATGGCAGTGGTGCCCACTCAGCCTTAGCAGGGACAGGGACGGAGCTGATTATTTTGCCATCTCTACCGTTAGGAATCTTATTAATAATATCATTTACATTACAATTCAATTAGATAGTTAACGTATATTATCTTATCACTGTCAACGTAATTGTCAATAAAAAAAAAAGAATAGAAAGGACCCATTTATGGGTTGAGATAAGCTTGAACTAAAAGTGATTTAGGCTTTGCTCTACGACCAAACATTTAATAAACTATACAAGAGTCTTCACTTGAGCGTACTTAGCATCAACAACAGAAATTTTTTATTTTTTCTACTTTTAAGTTCATTCGATTTGATTTCAAATCATCATTAAAATTTCGAAACATAAATATAGTGTTTTACAACACTTTAACTTATTTTAAAATTATTTCGAAAACGAGACCAAACCGACAATTTTGATAGTTAGTCTAAATGTTATAAATCTTGTTTTCTTGTTTGTGTTTGTATGAAGTTTCTTTGAAGAATAATTGGTGCTTTTTCAGTTTGAACCTAAACTTGGGCAAAGTTCTTCCAAAAGCGGAAGAAATGCTTTTCACCATGCAGCGACATTCGACATATTCCATTCTATCAATGGAGTAATTTTCAGAACATCATTAAAAGATAAAGTTACTGGTAAACTAGGAATCATCCACTATATATATTTAAATTTAAAGAAGTGATTTACAACATCTAACAATCATAATTAACAAAATACTACAACAGCAAAATGCAAACTTTATTTCCATTTTCCTTCGACAAATAAGCAAAACAACTTGTAAATTTGAGATCCATACAAAAAAGGAAAAATTAAAAATGAACTAGGACTTATTTTATAATAGATATGATATTGATGATATGAATATTTTTTTCATCACTCCAACTCAAAGGGAGAATCAAGAGTACTTAGAAAATAATCCCAGGGTGATGAATGATGATGCGGCGGTGGTGGTGACACTGACGGATGTAAGGGCCAGCCCCTTTCATTTTTTTACTTTAAAAAATTTTAAAATTTTTTTTAATTTTAAAAAAAATTTTGTGTAATTTTTTATTTTTTTTACGTGTTAGCCCAGTTTGTACTCCAGTCCTGGATCCGTTCTTGGGTGGTGATGGTGATTGCCAGGATTCTAAAAAATCCCACGAAGGGGATGGTGGCCAGTAGGGTTCTAAGTACTGTGAATGTGGGGGTGGTGATAGTGGTGGTGATGGTGATTGGCAAGGTTCTAAAAAATTCGACGAATGGGATGGTGACCAGCAGGGATCTAAATACCGCGAATGTTGGGGTGGTGATAGTGGTGGTGGTGGAGGAGGTAGCCAGGATTCTAAACGATTCCTCGAATGGGATAGTGGTGGTGGCGGCGGCAGCGGTGGCGGTGGCGGTGGTGGTGATGATGGTTGAGAGGGTTCAAAAAAATAATTCCACGACGAATGAGATAGTGGTGGTGGTGGTGATGGTTCAGAGGGTTCGAAAAAATATTGGAATGGTGGTAGTGGTGGTGGTAGTGGTTGTTCTAAATACATGAGTTTGTAAAGCTTTTTTTTACTAGTAATGGTATCATTTTCTTTGTAATAAAAATCTTGATAAAGCAGTGAGGACCAAAGAGAATCTTCACCTGAGAGTTTATAAAGGAACTTACAGGTGAGTGAAAGCCGACACAAATCTTCGAAATCCATAGCCAACTTTTCAACTCCGATCTCCATTATTCTTCTCCACATGTCCTCCGGCAGTTCAGACATTCTTTTCTTCTGGTGTTGTTATCTATGTTGATCACAATGTGTGTTATGTAATAATAAATACTTTCTAGTCATACACAAAAGCTCTACTTGTCCATAAAGCAAGGAGTAAAGAAAGTTGTAAAAGTTGATGCAAACAAGAAATCTAGTCATAATGCAAGTAGGCAACGTCAACTTGGGATTGTTTAGCTTTTGATCCCACCAGATAAAATTGTAATAAGAACCTTAACGAGGAAGCTATTGTTAGATATACTCAACGGGTAAATTTAATATTCCATCATCGGTAAATAGAAACGAATACTTTATTTTGATAAGATTGTTCCAACTTCATTCAAGTTTATTTTTGACTTCAACAATAAGGTTGAAAATACATGTGTGTGTTGAACATTGGCCACGTGAAATTCAATTTGTAGCATTTACCACTCTAATTTAAGTTCGCTTGATTGTCATTGTTAGACATCATGTTGTCAAACAGCCTT